CCGCAATTATGTCAGAAAGCAAATATTCATTCAAAAGCACGGACTACTGCCTCGGATAGCTGAAGTATGCAGCCACGCCCACCACATCTCAGGGATTTCGTGTGTACTAGATCAGCCACGGCTAGCACAGACGGGTTGTCTTACGGGAGTATAGCGGCACAACAAACAGGTTACAGGCTGTGTTATCAAGGTTAAACAGTAGAAAAATGGTTGCCTTTTCCTTGTTAGATTGTAAGGCATCTATCACGCATTTTTCTCTTCAAAAGTCGGTAAGGCATCTGACTAGTGCAGTAGCTTATGAGAAAAGTCTATTTGTAGGTCGGTGTTTTTGCTTTTCCAGATAATTACAGTGCATACCATCTCTCACGGGAGGTATTGGAGTACTGCTTGACCTGGGTGTTATAATATTAGGCGGAGCCCACTAGGCGGACTGTTCAAGTGAAAATAACATTTTTAGTCAGCGGTCTCTCTCTATCAGGGAAAGAGATTTGTTCATATATCAATCTTGTGTTGAGACAAAATGTATGTTCACCTCAGTCTTTGCCATGAGCGAGAATCGCAGCTTCAGTAGCTCTCTCCGCTCCAAGTGCACGGAGCGGAACTGTAAGGAAGTGGTACTTTGGTGTGGCCTCCATACTCTGCCCACGCTATCCTCGAAATGCAACACTTGGGTCGATACCATGCTCGTGCCGTAAAGCACGCGTTCAGAGGTGGAGAACAACCAGCAGTCAGAGAGCGCAGACAACTAGCGCGTATGGCTATGGCTAGGCATGTGACTGGCCGTGCGGCAGCGCGCGCGAAGCATGGAGAAGGCATCCAGGCATCAATACCATCCATACCCGTTCCCGTGCACCTTTGGCCAAGGAAAGTGATGCGCAAATGCAACTGCGCGTACATTCTCACACTCGGCAATGGACAGGGTCCACGGAGAACATACGGTCTGCCTTCGATGGTAAAACACTTGCATCGATATTATTACTAACATGCGAATTCTGCTCAGTTATTTGAACTTTTGAGTATACACTATGCACATTTGCTTACAGATCGAATCCGAGGCATTAGCGTGTGCTATCGCTGAGGAATGGTCGTCCCAAGAAGAGTTTCTGCACATGAGTCATATGAGACTGACTGGATTGGCGTTCACCGCTCAAGATAATCCTCTTCATATGACAAGGTGAGCATTTCAATTCATGAGATGTTTGATTCGGGAAGCTTAAGCTGCTTTGATAGATGAGCTTAAACATACAGTCCAGTTGTACTGATGTGCAGAACTTCTCCCTTGTGCAGAGTAGCCCGCTCCGCAGTCTCTCAGTTTTGACCATTTTTGCGGCTCAAAAGTGAGTGACAAGGTCACCAAAGGTCTGCCACGAATGTCGAGCTAAGCTCACGGAGGTCGGTCTCCGCCCGTTCCATTTGATCTCTTAATCGCTATGTGGCGAATACGACCCCTACCGAAGGGACTCTCCTTACCATGATGTCCCCTTGTTGTGGCTTCTGACATCATGGCCACGCACTTTCAGCTAGCTGTGGACTGGCGGGACACTTTTCATAGTGGTAGTACTGTGTCAAGAAGTTCAATTCAGGGAGTCAATAACGGCTAAAATTCTGGAGTTCCTTCATGGTGATACGATACTTTTTTGGAATGACGGAAGCGAAAAACTCGAGAAGTTGGTGATTTTCATTTGCATTGCATTTTTGATATCGTCGCAACTTGTCGGGGCAGTTCCAGTAAGAATGGAGTGAGCCCACGTGGCAGCTTTTCCACTACTGGTTGCTTTCTTCCCGGATCTTCCTAAGATCACTGTTGGTAGTAAAGGCATCCGTAGGCGGGCTCATTCCATCCCTCCTGCCGCCGACTGATGCGACGTTGTCAAGTACAACAAGATTTGGATATCTACTGCTCTGTTTGGAATGAATAACCGCTGTCTGTTGAGCAGCTGAGATGTCCTCTTTCAGGTACCAAAAGGAACATTGGCAACCGGTAATTGACCATGCAAACAAGGGTCTTGGCACGTCATTGAAACCGTGCACAAGCATGTTTGGTCAGTTAAACTATGTAGTATTAATAACTTTTCTCGTTCACTCTATTGAAGCCTAGAGGCAGTTGGCACGATAATTCGGTACCCGGCCTAAAATGCTTGCATAGCCCCATGCGCTATTACTGGGGCAAAAAGGCGAGAAAAAGAAAAGAATAAAGAATGTGAACGGTCCCCGAAAACCTGAGAAGCCTTTATTTTAATGATCAATGCATATACTAGGTTTCGAATGAGGCATCGTGCCGACGTAACTGCTTACGGTAGTGCGACTCCGCGTATGTATTTACATGCATGCAAGCCTTTCATACCATTATACGTTTCAAAGATAAATGCGTCTGCAGTATCGGTCATCAGTCAGTCTCAATGTTGTGAGCGGGCACTGGTGGTCGTTCGGGTCGTTGTATAGCATAGTATAGAGTTTCTTCCTTGGAAAGGCGGTTCGCAGCGTCGGCAGTGCCGCGAATTTCGTCTTGCCAGGCGTATTAACCCTACCGATTTGAGAGATCTATCGCATAGCTCTTCAATTTGATTCTGTGGAATCAGCTCCATTTTTCTATCGCTATTTTTTATACTCTAGTTGCTGGGGATGAAGTGGACGTCAGCATATGGTATGCCGCCGGTGGAAACCTTTTTCTGCAGATTATTCAAGCGGTATGCGACATGGTAGGAAAAAACGAGTTGACTTGTAACGATATGGGTACGTTTGTATTGTCACCTCAGCAAAAAGTGAGAACGGTTTGGCAAGCATCAAACCCGATCCGCATTACCACGTCAGTGACTAGATCTTCTGTGACACATGAGGGTGTGACTTTTCTCTGTCGGAAGGAAGTGTTATTTGGATTGGGAGAGAGGGGTTGCACAATTGTCTTTGAGAGAAAGTCGCCCGTCGGTTCTCAGTTGTTGTTTTTGCCTTTCTGTTATAAGTTATATACCAACCCCTCAGCCCTCCAGCCCCCCCCGTAATTTTTGATTGAAAAACTGGAAAATGGGGAAATGTAGGTAGGTGTTGGGGAAGGGGGGTATCGAACCTACACCACCACCTCACACATCACGATGCTGTACCCTGACACGCCTCTTCGTCCGCAGCGAATAGACTTATATATTCTGCTGCTGTACCATTAATTCCAACGCTCATTACCTTCGTTTCAGTAGGCGACGTGGTTTCTTCGGCTGATGCCAGCAAAGTTGAAAAATGGCTGCTGTCGTACAACTTTTGGGCACTGACGGGTATGCAGTATGCTGTCGAATCGGTGAAAAGTGTTCTGATACCGTACTCGGTGGTCACATTCAAACTAGGTGCTTCGGAAGCCGTCCACAATGCACTGATAGAGCAGAAGGCGCAGACGGACACATGGGGATTGGTAAGTTCTTGTAAGACTCAATTTGCTAGAAATATGGGACTGAAGAATCATGTCTCATCTAGATAGACGCCCTTTATCTCGAAGATATGGGAGGCATGGCTGCGTACTTCATTCGGGTATGACGCTGGCTAAGTTTCGACGAGATATTGCCGTTTTGGGACAACTGTATTGTCCAGCATATGACAGGGTGACAGTTCTCTCGAATGGAAGTATCCCATGAAAAACGCATCTCGCGCCATGTACAAATGTGTACGCAGCTACGCACCGTGTCCATCTGCGGGATATAGAGTGTATCCAACCTCGTCATTGCCGGGGCATGTTGCATTGATCAGGGCGGTCGTCAACGGGCCGCAGCGCGTGCCAGGAACTATTTGCTTTTCCAGGCTAATTTAGTCATTTTTTCCACCTTGTGAAGATAAGGAGCTGCTAATCTGGGAAAAAGTAGCCAAAACAGTGAAAAGTTGGAAAAAAAAATTGACTAAATGTAAGCCTGGAAAAAGCACAATACTCTCCTGGCACGCGCTGCGGCCTGTTTGACGACCGCCCCTAATCTAGCTGCTACTGGATTACGAGGGGTAGGTAGCTGCTGGTACACAGAATCAGCTCGATTATTTCTTACCGGTATACTCATGGTTGTACCCCGGTGTATAACATCGATCAGTAAGTTAAATTGAGGAAGTGAATGATTCCTTTCACGTTGTCCAAAAATGGCACAGATAAAAAAGTATTAAAAAGGGGTTTGCGAAACTAAGAAAACTCGTCCATTCTCAACAACGCTTTTGGGACTGCGTTTTTTTATCTATCCCACAATTTTTGTGTGGACCAGGATGTTTTGGAGCTGCTCGCCTTCGGGGATGGAGGGGACCATTTGCCTTCTATCTTTGGTTTCGCTACCTTGCGGGTTTCGCCGAGTGAGACCTGCCAAAGTGAGACCTGTAAACTCTTGTGAAGTGGAAACTGAGCCTCATCGGCGGTAGGGAAGACAGTCGTGTTTTGTCGCGTGCGGCTATGCGCGACAACTTCTCGATATGCATCAGTTTGTCTACTGGAGCAGCAAAACTCATGGAATTCAAGCAGAGGCAGAATTCCACAACGGACGATATAGAATTTCCTGTTCCTCCAGCAATCTGCTTCAAACGGTCAGGCAAGACAACTCGCCTATTGGGCGCGGCGTCGTCCACCACGCCCACTAGTGTGGCTATTACGATAGTCTTGTCACATGCCCGTGTTGCTGAGCTTCCCAAGAGCTAATAAGTTTTCAATAAGAATTACTCGGCAATACTGGATGGTAGCTAGTGAAATGCCTCTTCAAGGCGAACAGCACACTTTTCTAAAGGCATGAACTGTTCCAGCGCCACTCTGATTGTGCACTTCGAGTGTTATCCAGCGCTATTGCAACTGCTGCTTTTTGGATAACGTTTAACTTTGATTAAACATCAAAAAGCCACATATGACCTGGTTCTCATTTTTCCTGATGTTTCTGGAGCAGCTTACCTTGCCAGCTGTTGAGTACAGTCCAGTGTATGTTCATCATGTTAAATGTGTAAGTACTGTAGGACTACGGCATAAACGCCGTCAAGCTGAGGGAGTAAGAGGTTACCATGGTGGTG